AGGATTTTTCACTCCCATGAGTGTTATGTTGGATTGAGGTGGTATATACACATTTCAGTATTAAGTTCTGCAAAGACTATTTAAATTGACATCTATTAATCACAGGTTAGGAGGCTGGGAAGACCCTTTGACACAGATTTTACATTCAAGGTAAAGGTACAGGTTCCCCTTGACATTTAGTCTAGTCGTGTCTGACTCTAGAGGGCGGTGCTCATCCCCGTTTCCAAGCCGTATAGCCAGCATTTTTCTGAAGACAGTTTCTGTGGTCACGTGGCCAGCGCAACTAGACATGGAATGCTGTTACCTTCCCACCGTGGTGGTACCTATTTATCTACTCTCATTTGCATGTTTTCGAACTGCTAGGTTGGCAAGAGCTGGGACAAGCGATGGAAGCTCACTCAGTTGCGTGGATTCGATCTTACGACTGCTGGTCTTCCGACTTTGCAGCACAGAGGATTCTACGGTTTAACCCACAGTGCCACCACGTCCCCTTACATTCAAGGAAGATCTCAAATCTAAAAACTACCACAATTTTTAAAATCCTGTTTTAGTATTTATCGCATTGTTAGTAAACAGAGCACCTTACAAAATGGATGTGGCCTAAGTCTCTCGATCTCTTTTTGAATCCAGTTATAAACTCTCACTACTCTCACTAGCTAGGCAAAAATTAAGTCAGAAATAAAAGACAAATATCTTTGGTATACCAATTTCAGCAAACCATAGCATTGTCTCCCTTCAAAGAAGTGTCCCTTAAGAGGACATTTATTTGAGATGAATGCTAGTCTTACTGTACTTGAGTTGGAGTAGAGCTCAGTGATGGAAAAGAGGGGAATTTAAAAAGCCTACAAAACTTTGAAATCCCTTCACAACTCATAGATCTTCCTACACAGCTGCTTGCACATGGCTACAGTTCACCCACATGCACTCACCCACTGAACAGATGGCTAACACTTAGCTGAGGATGGGAAGAGAACATAAATTTAGAAAGAGGGGTCCACCCCCAGCTGTTGGGGAAGCACTAAATTACACTTAAAGCAATAATAACAGATACAGCCCCACGTAGAGCACGTTGCAGTGGTCCAGTCTTGAGATTACGAGCGCATGTATTCTGATTTTGATAACCATTAGTATCAAGATTCTGGAGATAAAATGTCATGCTAGCGGATTACGTCCTTTCTAGCCCCTCACTATGCTTTCTAGAACTGCCCTACAAGAACATGAAGCCATACCATTTTATGCAAACATTGTTATATGTTGAGTTACAAGAAATTTTATTAAGGCAAATCGACATACATTGGAAATCACTGCATGATTTCAATGCCACCAATTTTTTTTGGATGCTACATCTTTTCTCCAAGTGTGCTTATTTGTTGCAATATTTGCATGCTCCTTTAAAAATAGTACAAAAACATAAAGCACAAGTAGAATTATAGAATCATAGAATAATGGAGTTGGAAGGGGCACATAAAGCCATCAAGTCCAACTCCAAATCAAAGCAGATCCGACAGATAACTATCCAATTTTCTCTTGGCTGCTTTCAGTGTTGGAGCACCCACCACCTCCTGAGGTAATTAGTTCCATTGTTTGTAGTGCTCTAACAGCACGTAAAGGATCAGAGAGGCTGGGCTCAGCAACAGTATGTGTGAAAATGACCTAGATGCCCCTGCTTACTTTGTTCAGTCCTGCACTGTGGGGCAGCAGTAGGGAGAGGGACTTATCTGTCAGCCTATAAGTTGAAATAATATGTGCATTAGTCACCTTTGACCAAGAAGGGAGAGGTGTTCTCTCTGCATGCATCCTGCCCCATCCTGAGCTTTGTATGAGTTTCTATTATATGAGTTCTCCTTTGTATACTGTATGTATAATCTCCAGATGTAAAATGAAGGTACCTCAAAATGCACATCACAACAATTCTGTGCACATATTTGCAAGACTCCAGTTAAAATTTCCATGTTTTAGGGCAATGTATGAATATTGTTAATGAAGAAAAATGTTGGAACGAGAAATCTAATATACCTTGTATTGGACAAGGTGTATTTTAGCTTTTTTTGTTTGCATTAGGAGACAATTTAAGTAAAATGTATTCATATTTTGCACATATGAAAATAAGCAAAGGTTTCAATGCACTAGTGAGCAAATGCCATTTTGATGATTTTGACATATGTGCTAAATTACAAGAAAGGAAAAAATATGTGGTTGAAGGACTTACTTTTTTACTCTTGAAACTCTGTCCTTATTTGGACTAAGTGCTAGCCAGCTGCTCAGAAAATACTCCACATGTGGTCAGGATAACTTTTATCTATTACTGTACACATTTCAAAACCTGTTTTCATGAACAGAAAATGTATTATGGAGCTGAGCCTTGGTAAGATCTGCCCTGGCACAAATTAAGCAGTGCTTTCTGCAGTGTGATATAAGTATAAGTATGGTTGTTGTGGGTTTTTCGGGCTTCTTGGCCGTGTTCTGAAGGTTGTTCTTCCTAACGTTTTGCCAGTCTCTGTGGCCGGCATCTTCAGAGGACAGCACTCTGTGCTCTCATGATTTTGTTGGTTGGGTCCCGTTTCAGTTTTCCGTAGGTGATGGGGTCTAGAAGTTCTCTGATTTTGTCCTTGTATTCTTCTGTTTCCATGATTACTGTGGCGTTGCCTTTGTCTGCTAGCAGGATGATGATGTCCGGGTCTGAATTCAGGGACTTGATGGCATTTCTCTCCTTTCTTGTTATGTTGCTTTTGGGGTTTTTTGCTTTCCGTAGGATCCTAGTCACTTCCCCTCTTATTTCCTTTGTTTTTTCTTCTGGAAGATTATATAATGCTAATTACACGTTGGCAATTATGTCTTCCACAGGATTTTTGCTGGGTGTTACTGCAAAATTTCCTCCTTTGCTTAAGACTGAGGTTTCTTCTGGGGAGAGCTGGCATCCCTATAGGTTGCTGATGATGCGCGTGTTGTGTTTCTGTTGGCTTGTTTGGCATTTGTTGAATTTCTGTTTTTGTCTGGCTATGTATGTGGTTCATCATTTCTTTTTCCATCTTATTGTAAGAGAGGGTATCAATCTTGTCCCAATCTTGACTTCTCATTTTTTGGCTGATAGTGATG